AGAACACATTTGGTTTTGTGATTTATTTTGAAAAAATTTGCTTTTTTTTTACATTAAGATTTAAAGTTCTTGAAAAATTAGTATTGTAAGTTTCTAAAGAATTAAATTAATTGATTGTAGTTATTGAAGAACTAGTATTTTTAAAGAACTAAATAAATAGCTGATTTTTTCTCTTATATTCATGATTTTATTTAATAATTTCTTTTTTATATATAGATAATGTCCAATACGATGAAACTTGAATTTACCACTCCTGATATATCCAGAATAATTATTTTTCATGGGTCCTTAACGTTGGGATTCTTCTGGAAGCTATGAACATTAAAGACACCATCAAAGAAGAAAATAATGCATCCTTGCAAGATTGTGCAAAAACAATTATTTTCATTCACCATCATCTCCATGAAAGATTAGAAGTTGAATATCTCACAATAAAAGATCATCTTATTTTATGAAAAAATCTAAAAGAAATATATGATCATCAAAAGTTTATCACACTTCTTCAAGCTCATTATAATTGGTTGGGCCTGAGGTTGTAAGATTTTAAATCAATTGGTGAATATAATTTTTTTTAAAATTAACTCACAACTAAAATTGTATGGTGAAAATATCACATATGACTAAATGTTAAAAAAACATTCTTTACTTTACATGCCTCAAATATTGTCCTATAGTAATAATATAGAGAATATAATTTCAAGAGATACTCAGAACTAATTTCATGTCTTCTTGTGGCTAAACAAAATAATGAGTTGTTGATGAAAAATCATCAATTTCATCCCACATGTTCTAAACCATTCGCTAAAGTAAATGAAGCCTTTGTCTAAAAGACAAGAAATAACCAAGGTTATAGATATGGAAAAATAAATGAAAAGAAGATGAGATAATCCTTAAAAAAGCAATTCATCATATCACCAAAAGTGGAGACATAATGAAACCAGACAAGAAAAAGGTAAAAATTTTCATAAATTTAAAGATAAGTATCATCAGTGTAGTATGTACTTGTCACATGTAGTTAAGATAAAATTTACAGGTTTATATCAACCCTCTTTGAACCAAAATACAGTTGAGACTAATTTCATTCATAAAGACTATTTTGAAGGTTATAATTCTTATCTTGGTGTTTCTAATTTATTTAAAAATTCAAAGAAAATAGATAGCATGCTTAGTAGTGGGATCCTTAGGGAAGGTTAATATTTTTTTTATTTGTACTATGATATTTATTTTATTGCATTTTCAATAAACAATGTCAAATTTATTTTAGTTAAATAATAAACTTTAATTATATTTTGTATAGAGACATGACTTTTCATGATGGAGATTTATGTCTAACAGACAATATAACAGCACACACAATTCTTAAAGGAAAGAAATACTTTAAATATTTGAAATTAACCACAACTAATGATACTACAATATCAAGTCCAGTAGACATGATTAAAGGTTCTGGAAGAACTAATATTTTGTTACCAAATAACACAAAACTGGGTATCAAATATGCATTATATTCATCTAAGTCCAGAAGAAATTTACTAAGTTTTAAAAGTATATGTGCTCATGGTTATATATATATATTATTTCTCATAATTCAGGCCAAAAGCCTATACTTGAAAAATTATATGCTTTCTCTTCTAAAATTTATTATGCAATCATGAAATCTATTGAAACAAATATTGTGATACGCCAATAGTGTTCTAACTTAAAAATATATATATGTTTTTTGCATTATCGACTTGGACATCCAAGTCAATAATGGTACGAAGAATCATTGAAAATTCATATGGGCATCCTTTAAAGAACCTGAAGATTATTTTACCGAGTAAAAATCCATACGCTGCATATTCTTAAAGTAAATTAATTACCAAACCATCTCTATCAAAGGTTGTTATAGAATCACCAGCTTCTCAAAAAATTTGAATGAGATATATATGAACTTATTCATTAACCATGCAGACCTTTAAAATATTTATCGTATTAATTGATGCATCAAGTAAATGGTTATATATTTGTTTACTTTCTAGAAAAACTGTTACATTTTCTATATTAATATTATAGATTATCAAACCACAAGCATAATTTTCTGATTGTCCAATCAAGAAAATTTGATTAAACAATATTAGTGAGTTTACTTTTTAAGCATTTGATCATTTTTGCACTTCTATTAGAATTGATATTAAAAATCTTGTTGCTCATATGGATACTCAAAATGGTCTAACAAAATCATTTATAAATTGCCTTCAATTAACTACTAGACTATTAGTTATGAAATTAAAATTGTCTACATTTGTTTGGGAACATGATATATCATATGTTATATCATTGGTTAGAATTAAATCAAGTGATTAATATAGATATTTTTATTTGCAACTTGTTTTTGGTATACCACTAAATATATTTCATTTATGAACTTTTGGTTGTGCAATATATCTGTCTATAGCACCCCCCCAACCCCCCAACCCCACAAAGTACTAAAATGGATCCCAACATAGAATAGGAGTTTATGTTAATTTTGATTCTTCATTGTTATTAGATTCCTTGAACTTTTGACTAGTGATGTTTTTAAGACACATTTTAAGACTATCATTTTGATGAGAATATTTTCCCATCATTAAGCAAAGAAAAGTTAGTCCTTAAAGCACGACAAGAAATTACATGGAATAACCTGAAACTATCTCATTCTGATCTAAAAACAAATCAATGTGAACTTAAAGTTCAAAAGATAATTTATGTATAAAATATTACAAATCAATTACCAGATGTCTTCACCAACAATGAAAAGGCATTTAAATCTTACATTCTAGCTATAAATGTTCCATCTATGATTAAAATCCTTGAAGGGAGGGGAAAAAAAAAGGCAAAAGAATAGCAAAAGAATCTATATCATGTTTGAAGTGAGGAAGACTTGTTGATCCTAAAGACAAAAATACTAGAAAACAAAAATTACAACAAATAGATGATGGTACTTCTAAAGATTCTTCATTCATAAAACAGACAATAAATATTGTGTCAAAATCATCTCATAATATTGATCCTCCTAAAGAAATTCAAGTACCTAAAAATAATGAGATTTCCATAAACTATGTTCACATAGTAGAGATTTTGGATCAAAATAAAATTGTCATAAATGATGTATCAGCATTTAAGGTTGCTTTTGACATCACTGGAAGTGATGATAAAATAAAACCATAAATTGTCGAAGAATGTCAACATAAAAATGATTGGCCAATTTAAAAAGAAACAATCCAAACAGAGTTAAACTTACTTGCAAAATAAGAGGTATTTGAACATGCAATTCATATGATTAAAGGTGTTATGCATGTTTGATATTAGTGGATTTTCATTACAAAACAAAATGCAAGCAATTTTTTGAAATTGTTTGGTACAAGGCATGACTTGTAGCAAAAGGTTTCTTAAAGAGACTTAGTATTGATTATAAGAAAACTTGTTCTTTAGTTATGGATGCAATCACTTTCAAAAAATTTATTGGTTTAGTTGTCTCTATAGGTTTAATACATATAGTTACAACATATATATATATATATATATATATATATATTATTTTATAAAGATATTCATATGAAAATTCCTGAATGATTCAAAATGCTTGAAACCTTTTATGATAAACCTAGGAGTGTTTATTATATTAAACTACAAAAATCTTTATATGGACTGAAACAATCTAATTGAATGTGATATAATCATCTTAATGAACACCTTCTAAAAAAATAATTTGAGAATAATGAGATTTGTCCATGCATTTTTATTAAGAAAATGATATTCAAATTTGATATTATTGCAGTATATGTTGATGATTTAAATATTGGTATTCCTGAAAAGCTCATAAAAACTACAACATATTTGAAAGATAAATTTGAGATGAATGATCTTGAAAAGATAAAATTTTGTATTGGTTTAGATATTGAACATTTTTTAAATGAAATATTTATCCATCAATCAACATATACAAAAAAGATCCTGAAGCATTTTTACATAGACAATGCTCATCTTTTAAATACACCTATAGTTGTTTGATCACTTAATGTGAATAAAGACCCTTTTTGACCATAAAAAGAGGATAAAGAAATTCTTAATCCAAACATATTATATTTTAGTGATATCGAAGCACTCATATATATTCTTTGCAGTCAATTTATTGATAAGATATAATTTTATTTTAATAAAAAAATAAAAAAATAAAAAACACTAGAATGAAGTCAAATATATATTTCACTATCTCCCAGAAAATAATTAAAGTGAAGTTATTTAATAGCACATGAAGTCAAATATATATTTTACTATCTCTCTGAAATAATTAAAGTGAAGTTATTTTATAGCATATTAAATTTATAATTAATTGGATATGGGATGGTGGTTGGTTATATTTATAATTAATTTGTTAGACATGGTGGTTGGTTATAGAGCAAAATCAGGTAATGGTAATAAAGGATAGAGTGCAAGGCCATGTTGGTGACAGAGCACGTCATGCGAGGAGAAAAGAATAACAAGTTATCGTTGAATTTAATAATATAAGAACTAAATATATAGTTATCGGGGATTAATTAATAAATTAATTAATTATGATAAATTATATAGAATAAGTTATAATTAATTCAATTATCAGCGTCGTCGTCATCATACGGCGCAGGCTAATGCAAAACGCTAAAGATCTAGAGATGAATATCCCTTGAACCTCCGTAGAATTAGACATCAGTTGCTATTCATGCCTGCAACTAGGATAACATCCCAGAGTCGGCTGCAAAAATCTAATTATTTTTTCTCATAAATGTATCCAGTGATTTGCTTAAACTTTGCTCAAAAAGATTTTGATGAGAAAGCTGATCTAAATATATTCCTATCAATAAAGAGTGAGATTGCAAGTAAAAGGGATCCATCAAATGAGAAAATAAACTCAGATAACATGTTTTTTACTGAATAAAATTACATCAAGCAGAGGACCTAAAAGCAACCTTACAATGGATCATAGAAGCTAGGAACCGGATTCAATGAGCAATTCTTGGAAGAGAGCTGTGGCCCGGAGGAAAGCTGTTAAGGTCAAGGGCATTGTTTTTATGATAAGATGTCTCGAAGGACTTCAATGGAGTGGGATTGACCTGAATGAACAGATAGTTCCCAGCAAAAAGATCACCAAAATGAGCCTGACCTTCCTTCAATCTCTTCATCACCTTGGCACATGAAAGCCTAACGGCAGAGACCAGCTTAACTCTCCTCCTCAATAATCTCCCCAGGCTTGGATCTTTGAGCCTAAACCTGTTTCTTATACGCACCCTCCTGAACCCGTGCCAACTTCTTGATTTGACAGTATTGAATCCCTGCCTTTCTTCATATTCATCACAGAAACCTTCATGCTTCAGTTTGTGGTAAGGAAACTTTGGGCACTTGACCATCTCAAAAGAAGGTCAAGTTTGTGAATCATGAAGTTAGAAGGCAAGTTATTTTTCGATGCACTTATAGCGAGTTTTGAATCACCTGTTGGTTTCGAGAAGCAGTTGAATACATTAAATGCAAAAGCAGAAGCTGCTGGGAAACAGAGTGGTGCCATGCATTATGGCTGGCCTTTTTTGTCCATAACGTACGTGCCCAAGTTCCCTACTTCACAGCTCATACATCTACCTTAGGATTATTGCTGTGTTCGTGTATATGATTTGTCACCACTCTCGGCGTCAAGTTTTCCATTGACTAAAAAAAGCCTCAAGTGCTTGTTTTCCCATTTGGAAATCTTGGCTCAGGTTCAACCTCACTGCCATTCACCATTACAAGTACGACGCCGGTTTATTTACAGTAGGAGTGCTTTTGGGCCAGCCTTCGGATTTTAATAAAAAAAGCAAAGAAGCAATCTCACAGAAATTAGAAGACTACATTGAAAATCCAATATGATTCAGCAGTGATGGAGAAACTGAACAATCACATGAAAAATGGGGACCGTACTTCAAAGATACCCACCCAGCAGGACTAGACCTACTCTCTGATTGATATCCTTACAAAAACTAAAATTGCACGCATGAGAATTGGGAGAATGTACAAACGGACATACATCTGAATCTGAGACCAACTGGCCAAACATTTGCAAGATTTAAATAACGAATCAAAAACAAAACAAAAAAATAACAACAACGAATGAGCCGTGTTAAGGCAGAATGCTACTTAAAAGAGCTTTATTCTTGTTTCGATCGAACTTCGACAGATTGGACATAACTGAAGTGTTTCTCCACAGTCGCAACATGTCTGATGGATAAAAGAAAAATTATGCATCAATTTCTTTCTGTCAACAGAACTCCAAACATATACGAAATGAGAAAAAATCAAAAGAGTATATATCTACCTGATGCCCACAACCAAAGGCCATGTCCTTTGAATTACTGAGGCAAATAGGGCAAAGCTGTACAATAACAACAAAGTTAGTTTTGCAGTCAAATCAGCTGATAAAGTAGCCTGACTTTGCTGAAAAATACATGGAAAAGGCAAGATGTAACTTGGAGAAGACAAGGCTTCCAAATGCAGTTCAATCCTAGATAATAATGCTGTTCTTAACAGAGACGGTCTTGTGTGGCACCAAATGGGGATGGCACAAAAGCACATAGAACAGTATGAAATACAACATACTTCAGTGAAACCTAAAATCCAAATCAAATACAATTGACTGGTTCTAAATGCAACAGTTTTATCTAGTGAACAAAACCCTAAAGAAAGCATCATGTCATTGATCCAAAAGCATTCCTAACATTAAAAGCAACTTACCTGATTATCATAAGTTGAACACGTAGCAGGTGGAGCTGAGCTGAAAGGTTGGCTGTCTCTTTGATAAGAAGGAACACTCGGCTTAAAACTGGCAGGACGAGAAGGCTTAGAGCTGCTGAAAGATGCTGCACCATACAAAGGTGGAGGCAGGGCAACTCTCTCAGAAACAATTCCCTTGCTCTGACTGCCCAATAAAAGATGGCATAACAATTAGAATGACAAGAAAACAGATGCATCACTTCAAATAAAAAATAGATCAAAATAATAATATATAAAAAAAAAACTTTGAAACTAGCCAGAGCGGGTAGCGTGCATTACCCCAATATATTAAGCTCTATAGTTGCCTTGTACTGAGAAGGAATTTCCATCAGAGCAGAAAGCGCAAATTCTGTCTCCTTTCTTGACGTGTCCACATTCTTTGACATTATTTCTGTGAAATTCACAAACTGGAGAGAAGCAGCCATTGAAGAAGCATATATCAAAAACCACCGTTTCTAAAAACAAAAGAGTAATTAAGATGGAAATCAAATAACACCCCAAACACTTACCTGGAAATTATCAAAGTCTCGAGCAGGAATGTTATCATCAAACTCCCTCATCATATCCCAGGGCCCATCTCCCACCCCAACTAATATAATAGATAAGGGAAGTTTGCTGTAAGAAAGCAGGTCTATGTTTAGGAAACAACCAGGAAAAAAAAGGAACTCCAGAAGAAAAAAGGTTACCCTGACTTTACCTTGCTCGTACAATGGCTTCGACAGTCTTCTGTTCCTGTGGACTTAGCTGTCCATGCTCCGTATCAACACTTCTAGTAACCTGAGACAACCATCAACAATAAATCAGTAAAGCCTTGGGAACAACACCTGGTTTGAATGAAAACTTTTCTGGCCATCAGTGACCAAACCACCATTCACATGGGAGAAATGATCACCGGTACAATGACAAGAGGTTGTCAGCATTCTATAATTTCTTGCATAGATAGTACAATTTTCCATCTCTCATTCCACTCATTTTGGTAACAAAAGCATGGCATTTCTGCCCCTTATTTGTCTCTAAATTGAGATTACAACTGTAGAAAAGATAGCATACCTGTCCATCTGCAATTATCAATAGTACATGGTACTGGCCAGCACTCTGCTCAACAATGGTCATTGCCATTTCAATGATTGGTGCAAATGATGTAGGTCCTGCAACAAAATGATAAGCATAAACTATAAAATCCAATTCTAGACTTCAATGAACACTATGAGATGAGAAGCACCAGTATCAAAAAACAAGATTTAAACCTGCAAGTCGTAGATTGGGCACGATTTCCCTATACCGACTCAAGACTTCCTCAAATCCATTGCAAAACCTCTCATCTGGATAGAAACTGAAGACGTCCTGATCATGTGTTGATGCTGCCAGAGAAAAGTGTTTGTTATTGGCAGTTGCATCAAGTGAATGCACTAGGCAATCTTTGATCTATTGAATTCTCATAACCAAGTAATTTATCAATACATACCATCCCCAAATCCAAAACAGGGAATCAAGTTATCCTCATCAAAGGCAGCCAGCGTTTTCCCAATAATGGATATTGCTTGTTCATATGGATTCAAACCATCACCAATATGATGCAAGCATCGTCTGTTATATGACCTGGCACCTATTATCAAATCAAATTTAATAGCCTGTTCTGCAATAGGTCAGGCAACATACATTTTAGGCAAAAATGATAAAGTTTAACCTGTCCACTCATTGCTCTTTGTGAAATCAATACCAACAATGAGATTGGAAGATTCAAGACCAGCACGTGCAAGAGCCTCAGTCACCTGCAAGGAAAATAAGAATTCATTTTACTTCAAAATCTCTGAAACTGGCAAAAAGACCAGAGCCCATTTCATGGAAAATGCACGACCATAGTAGAAAATGGAAATGGATGACGTTTTTAAAAAGAGAAACCACCACTGCCACCAAAACTGTTGTTTAAAGCATAGTAAATCATCCAAGAATGGCACAGTTACATCTGATGAAGATAAACAGACATCGAATCTAAATGATATTAAGAACCTAGCAAGGAGATACAAAAACACAAAACTTCATTTCCAAAACAAGCTTGCCCACCAAATCCTTCTTAATGCTGCTTATCTGACAGAAAACCGAAATCCACATAAAAACCACAGAAAATTAAATTACCTGGTGTAATGATTTGTAATCATCTGCAATCCTTGAATACTTCCTCTCGAGCCTTCTTCTGTCGCCGCCACCCCCATAGTCTTGAGAGGAAGAATAATGCTGCTGCGACCCAAATGATTGTTGTGATGCATAAGGTTGCTGTGGTGGTGGTGGTGGTGAATGATTATAACTTTCTTGACTATATGATGGTTGTTGATAGGCATCCCATGAAGATGGATTCGAACTCCAATTGGCTTGCCTTGAACTTTTGCCCCCCATCAACTTAATTTATCTACAATAAACCCCAATAATTAAGAAAAAACCACTTCTCTTCTCCACAAACTATTAATAACCAAGCACCAAAAATGAACCAAAAGAAACCCAACTCTCTGACTTGAATTCTTTATTCAAAACCCAATTCAGAAACACAAATATAAACCCAAAGAAAAAACTGAAACACAAAACCCTTTAATATTTCCTGAATTCAATTAAAGAAAAGAAGAAAAGGTGGACTCGGTAATGAAAGAAATAACCAAGAAGTTCCCAAATTTTGCTTCTTTAGCTATAGAAGCAAGTAATAGCCAAAAACAATGACTTCACATACACAACAGGCGGCGGCTGTAGAAGAAAGTACCTTCCACGTAACTTCTATCTCCACCGCTTTAGACCATAAGGGGGACACGAGAAGAAAGATTGAAGAGACAGACCGTACCTGTTCTTATATCACTTGCAGGTTAAGGAATTAAAACCAATTTGCTTACAAGAAATGATCAAAACACGCCACCATTAATTAATTAATCTACTTCTACTATTAAAACAAATTACAAGAAAATTAATAACAAAACATTAAGAAAGTCAACAAAAATCTTAAAATGAAGCACATTACCATGATCACCCAAGATCTAATTCAAGGAGATAAAATGATTGATAGAAAATTATCTGTTTAAATAAATAAAATTTGGAGATGAGAGAGAGAGGGGGGGGGGAGGTTACTTACTAACAACTCTTGGCAGGATAATAGTCTCTAAATGTTAGTGGAATGGATCTGAATCTGTTAGAGAAAGAGATGATACTCTTCTCGTGAAAGTTTGTGAAAGCAAAGTGAAAAGCCTTTTCTCTTTCCTTTTTCCTTTTCCTTTTTTATTTATTTGAGGGAATATTGACCAAATAATTCCAATAATGGCATCGTGTTGTCATCAATTTCATGGATCTCGTGAGGGAGGAAATTAACTTTGATTATTTTATTTATTAGTATTTAAAATTATAATAACTATTATTTTTTTAAAAAAAATTATTTAAAATAATATTTTATTATTATTAAAATATATTTTTGATACCCACACATTAAAATAATTTAAAATTATAAAAAAATATAATTCAAAGTAAAAAATTCTAAAACTTTTTAAAATACTTTTTATACACAAAAATAAATACAAGTTACTTTTTAAATTTTTTATTTGTGTTTTTTGCCATCTTACTTTTATCTCTAAGTATA